ATGAGAAAGTTACAGTACATGTACATGTTTAAATGTTTTATAGCCGTTAGAGAAGTACTGGATGTATTTGCGAATGAAGAATCCAATGCTAAACGTAATCGGCTTCCCGATCTACGCTATCGAATCGGAGCACATTGAGAAGATGTGCAACCTGGTGCATGAAATCAGGGACAAATGCAGCGCGGTTCAGCGTTGTCCGGGCCACCAAGTAGTGCAGTTCACGAACGCCCTGCTAGGCTTTACCTGCGGTCCTGAGCAGCAGAACTTCTTCCTGCACTTCCAATGTATTCAGGACGCCATCCGCCATAGCCCAGACTGTGTTCCATTGGTCAATGGTGCATGGGTACCTGGCTTCCACAAAGAGGTCTGCCACAATATGCCCCAGTTCTTTCGCTGTGTCCATCGATCCGTGCTTGGGGAATGTGGCTCCGACAGCGTCAACGTACTTGTCCGCACCATACGGCAGTTTTGGTGCGATGTTGGCAGAGTCCCCCAAATTACTATTGCTAGTAAGTACCTTATACAAATTTATATTGTGACACGTTAATACATCCAGATGTATGAATATAGTAATTTTCGAAACTTGTTTTTAAATTATGATATTTCTTTCTATTCCTATTTTGAATCGAATTTCTGCGCAACTTTGGCAGTTTTCTGGATACAACAGAAAGCCACAAATAAATGCACTACTAATAGCAAAAGAGGCTAATGCTAATACTACTATAATGTTGTTGTTGTTTTTGTTTTGTCGTCGTAAACTGAGGTTAACAGAGCCTAAGCAGCGGGGTAATCCAGACTTATGATGTCTGAGCGTTAGAAATGTCGCAGCGCAGTTAATCGTTAAAACTTGTTGCAGCGTTTAGCGTCCTTATGCTAAACGGTTTGGTGTTGGGTATTTCGAATCACTAGTTGCACAGGTTATTCGTATGGAGAACAACATTCTGAGTGATACGGTCGCCCTTTGTACCATGTACTCATTCTGTCCAGGTACGTCAACATATGTTCTAGAACAGACCTCTGTAGGAAGTCCGCTATTCCAAACTCTTCAGAGCAAGCAACATGGTTAGGCACCATTATCAGATTTCTCTGAGTTACTTTGTATTTTCAGTAAGTTTCGCTAAGATACCTGCCTTGCCCTTTTTCTCTTTTAGCTTTTGTTTATATCCGTTTATGTGTATCATATATCTGTGTTGCTGCAAAATTGAGTTCCTCAGTGATCCATTTAAGTAGCAAAAAATTTCAGCCCTCAAACCTACACCGAGAGACCCGAGTTTGGACGAGTGATGCTTTTTTGAATGTCGCGCAATAACTTTTTTTTCGATTCCATTATTTGCTGCCCAATATGTCCACTATGAGAAGGTTCTTTAGTGATACGTTTCGTGACGATCAATATTCGTCATATGTCTGGATAAAAAATTATTCATTGATTATCATATCTGACTGTTCGACATTTGCGACACCGCAACTTCAAGGGATTGCCCTATGATTCTTGGTCCTCCGTCATTTGGTTGTCTT